CGACTACGACTCGTGTAGCTTACTCGATAAGTTCGACCACAAACGACATTATCCGCTCATTGAACTCACATGCGAGGATGACCTCAATAAGCGGAGGGACTAACTGTATGAGTCAAAAATTACCTTAGACATGATCAAACCATGTTAACATTAAAAAAACACTCGTGGACTGCCACGTGTCGCCAGTACGACTTCGATAAAGGCATGCTCGGCATCGAAGTGATCTCTTAAGAAAGTGAAGTGCATGGACAATGAAGTTGTTAAAGACCAAGGTCGAAGAGTCGGCAGAGATCGAGATCGAGGAGTCAGCGAAGATCAGAGTTGAGGTCGAGCACTCACCGTAAATAGAGTGAATAACGGCTAGTTTTAGGATAAGACATCAGAGAAAAATATTCTAGTGGATATTCTCTATACTTGTACTATTAGGGTATTTTAGGTATATGTTCCCTATAAATAGAAAGAGAGAATGATAGGGGACATAAGATATTCATTTGTAAGAAAACACATTGACTTTATAGGGAGAATCTGGCTTTATTGCAAGCACGCGAGAAATACCTTTTACTAAGATCCTTGAATAACTTTTCCACTGGATCCAAGAACTATTTGAACATTCGGAGGCTCATCAATCATTCATCATTATCAGAAGTGATATCTACAAATCTCACCCCTTTTTCGGGTGACTCACATATTCTTATTTACATAAATGTCATTTATTGTTATTTATTATTATTTAATGCTATCTTCCACCTTCTAGGTAATTGAATATTGTTAGTGTTATCCACATTCATTGCTATTCGGCCAAACATACATATTATCTACTACAAAACCGGTTATTTTATCTTTTGGATATTAATATTGGCTAAAATTAATTTTACTTTATTTAAATATAATTGCTTGAACCCGAATCTAAATTTTGAGTCAAACAATTAACCTTGTACATCAATAAAGTTATTTAGACATAATCCATATATGAAAAACTAATGATATACTTTAGTTGTAAGTATTTTGTGTCATGTGATCATTTTAACAGCACATCTCAATTACATTCATATTAGCTTCTGTTTTGTGATCGTCCTAACATGCGAATTCAAATATAAATTTACTGGTTCGACTCCCAAGATTTTTGCCACCCAACCTATTGCACTTCTAGAATATAGGTTTCAGACTTTAAAATTTGTAAAATATTTAGAATTTTTTACATATATCTGTGCTTCATATCATGGGCGTTCCGACTAATTTCGTGACCTAAAGCCAAACTTTACGAGGGGCCTTAACTTTTTTATTAATAAAAAATATTTTATTTTTATTTAAAATCTATTTTTCTAACTTTTTTAAATGCGAAGTTATTATTAATTTTTATAATCAATTTCTCCTAATAAGTCTTTTTCAATTAACAATATAGCTGATTCATTTAATATATTTGAGACATTGTCGATCTTAGGTAAGGTTTTATCAATTTTAATTTTGAAATACTTTTTTTCGCTGAAGCAACAATAATAGGAGTTATTAACATTATTCTATAAGTAATATAGGCATTTGGAAAATAATCAAATCTTTTTATTTGATTGAATATATCAATTAAACTGTTGTCTTCTAATTCTACTATTTTTTTTAATACTTTTAATGTAGAAAATAAATCTAAACTATCAATATCGGGTTGCTTATTATGATTTAAGGAGCATTCAAGATGAAGGCAATATTTTTTTCAAATTTTCATCATCTAGTAATCTCAGTTTTTACCACTAAATAAAAAACTAAAAATATTTTCATATGCCTCTAATTGTTCAAATTTATTTTAAAGTGAAAAAATAATCTTGTCTACTACTCTCTCCAATCCATAATAAATGACTTTTTTGGCTTTTATTTTGGTTCAAAATAAGTGTCCTTTTATATAATCGAGAAGGAATTAACTTTATTTTTTCAAAATTTGCCCTTATTTACATATCTCTATGTGTCAAGTTAACAACATATAAATTTTAATTAATGATAATTTAGTCAAAATATATTTTTATTCTAGGAGTCAATATTTTCTTAAGGGGCACAACAAAGGTTAAAAAGTCATTTATTATGGACCATAGGGAGTATGTATAAAAAGTAATCAACTCTAAAGGACTCTTCGAGAGATTTTGAGATTTCATTATTAACATTTTCCTCAAATTGTTTCTTCCGATATATTACACGTTTCTTATGAAATTCGGGTTCGATATTAATTTCAAATGCAATTTCCTTGGCAGAAATCAAAGCAGTTGCAAATCCTTTGTATCTATATTTGTTAAATAAAGAAATCAAACTTTTTCACCACATAACTTTTTTAAAATTTATATATAACCTATTAGATGTAAAAAAAAAAAAAAAAAAAAAGTAGGGCCTCCACAAATATGGAGCCTAAAGCAGTTGCTTTACCTGCTTTATGGACGGGCCGCCCCTGCTTCATATTGAAAATATTTTCTCATCATAAATATGAATTAAGAAGAGCAAACTACACTCTATAGCCCCTCAAATTTTTAATAGCTCATATTTTTTTTCACTTACACGAAATGGCCTTTCGGCCCAAACATATTACATCTAATAGCCCGAAATGGCTATTTTGTATATTTGTTATATAGTGATAGTCTATTTTATATATTCGTTGTATAGTGACAGTCTATTTTGTATAGCGACAGTATATTTTGTATATTTTTTATATAGTGACAGTCTATTTAGTATATATTTTGTATAGTGACAGTCTATTTTGTATAAATTTTGTATAGTGACAGTCTATTTAGTATATTTTTTGTATAATGACAGTCTATTTTTGTATATATTGTATATAATGACAGTCTATTGTATGTAAATTGTATAGTGATAGTCTATTTTGTATAATTCAGTTACACTTTCATGTTTGCCCACTTTCATGTTTGCCCATTAGGGACCCATTAAATCTCGTGAATACAAACACGGCAGAATTCTCAACCCATGAAACCAGAGAAAAAAAAAGGCCTGATTGCTTTCAATTTCTCTTTCTGACGTTCTTTATTTTTGCGCTCAATTGGTTGTCTTTTCCGGGAAAGAAATACGTAGTACTTCTGTAAATATAATCAATTGCCAAATAAAAGAAAGGAAGAAAGAAAAAAGAAAAATACAAGGAATTGAAATACCCAAAATGATAACTTACCACCTGGAGTTTAGGGGGTTTGTTGCAATTTACCCTGTCCCCGTTGACCGTGGAATCGCCGTCTCTGTTTAGAAATTGGTTATATGTTTTTGATCTTCTCATTGACGCTGAGACAGAGCGGAGGAGGATGCCATAGAGAGGGGGAAGAGTGGCAGTAGTCTTGGCTAGCTTTTTAATTAGTTTTGGACTATAAAATGCATAATGCAATTTTGAGGCTAGCGGCTGATATTAGTTTTATGAAGTTTGCTCAATTAAGAACTATTACGTAAATAGATATAACCTATTATGTTATGCTTTAACCGTGAAATATGAGAGGTAAAAAAGAAACTAACATTTGAATAGGCGATTTTTAGCAACCAAACACTGAAGAATGAAAATAGAGTTTGGGGGGGGGGG